GGCACCTGTTGAAAATAAATCTAGATAGACATGATTGGTGTCGTGTCAGCATTAATGAAAATGCCGTTTATTTCCTGTTTCATTGTAGCACCAGAGCACAACCTTTGCTTTATCTCTATCCGCCCCTGAACAACACGGACGCTGCCATTCACACTGAATCTCTTACTCGAGGCCTCGCAATTAAATTGGTCTTTTCTATGAAGGCTCCCCCCCCTCTCATGCTGTCAGTCATGTGGAGGGCTTCATCTATAGCAGTGGGTTTTACAAAGGGTTTTTTGTTTAACAAATATTTATTGATTTTTCCACGAGTCTCAAGGATATGAAGGGATATACTTCGCCACGTTGGTCACCATGGGTGAGTCAAGAGGACGGCCAGAACCGGGTCAGATATCAGTCGCCACTAATGTGAGTCATAGTCGTGACTCAAAGTCAGGTCGCTGGGTTCATACCACAGGGTGCTAGGAACGACACCACTGTTCCATACCCAAGGCATAGAGCAATTACGCAATAATTATGTTCTCTGTAAGTATGACAAAGCAACTAAACCACTACAATATTTTAAACAGCCTGTGAGGCTACTTTTCAATTTTATTTTTTTCCGCATCGTATTCTTTTGTAAAAGAGGGCATTATAAATGTCACCAGCAAGTCAAAGGTCGGCACACGGAGTGCTGGCAATATAAAGGGCTCCATGACGATGCACACAACCACTGTTGACAGGGACTTTTAAAAACACCTTCAAACACTCTCTTGAGAATGAACCAGAATAAATTGAAACAGCAGGCCTATGCTGTGACTCAACAAGGCTCAAATTCCACACAGAGCAGCAGGTGACAATATTAAATGCACCACACAAATTATTTTTGCCTCGTATTCTATGAAGCCACATAGAGAGAAAACATTGTCAAAATATCACGCTCTGCAGAAGCCCAAAATTGCACAATATAGTGTTGCACTTCAACAAGGTAAAGCAAACGTTAAAGGCACAGACGCCACGCTTGGTAGCGCTGGTGGATGGAATAGTCTCCCTTTTATGGGGACATTTAACAAGTCCTTGCTGTCAGGCAACTCTCGGTCCTTTGAGTTATTTTTTCAATACAACCTCTTTAAAAATCTAAATCGAGACAGATCTACATCCCTGCGATCTCAGTGTGGCCAGATAAGAGCTGCGCCTGCAGTGGAGGAATATCGGAAGGCCTAAAACTCATGCATTGATATGATTATCATATCATCCCTGGGGCTAATACAAATGGGGTCTCTGGAGGAAGATTAATATAGCTTACGTGTGTGTATTTAAAAAACAGAACACGGAAAACTTATTATCAGCTTATAGTTCTGTTAGAATCCTATTATATAAATGAGTTCACATTTTCACAGGACCTTTTCAATAAGTAACATTTTGTTTACCTGTACAAACAGAGACCATAGCCAGTCTAGACAGCTTTCTGGTTAACATACCGTTGTGGTATCAGTAACATATGTGTAATACACATTCCATGTTGCTGCATCTATTAGGGGTGCCCTATATTGAAAACGTCAAAAAACCATGAGAGTAGAGGTCATCTCCGTTAGTGGTCCTGTGTCAGTAGTGACAATTCCACATTCCTATGGCAAGACCAGTGGTTCCACAGGTCGAGCATTATTGCTGACATCCCGCAAAGTTGTACTCATTACTATTGTTACGTAGTTTAGAAATGTTGTGTGGGCAAATATTGCATACGAAGCTAACAGCGTAAATATATATATACGTACAAATATTTCAATTAACAACATGTCAATGTTCAACTGCAGTATTGTATTATGGGCTGTCAACAGACAACTTATTATATTGGAGTAAGTATGTTCTACCAATCTGGCTTCCCTTAATGATTTGAAAAAGAGTCATTGTCCAAAACATTACCTTTACAGCATATTATTTTAAGTGAAAGCAGTGCTAAAGACAAAGGTGGTAAGTTGTTTTGTTGTTCTTCTTACATTGGGAAAGCGGAATCAACCAAAAGAGCACGTTCAAGATTTTGGGGTCCACTTAAATTATTGCTATCATCTCAACAACATACAGTGAGGGAAAAAAGTTTTTGATCCCCTGCTGATTTTGTACGTTTGCCCACTGACAAAGAAATGATCAGTCTATAATTTTAATGGTAGGTTTATTTGAACATTGAGAGACAGAAAAAAAACAAAAAAATCCAGAAAAACGCATGTCAAAAATGTTATAAATTGATTTGCATTTTAATGAGGGAAATAAGTATTTGACCCCCTCTCAATCGGAAAGATTTATGGCTCCCAGGTGTCTTTTATACAGGTAACGAGCTGAGATTAGGAGCACACTCTTAAAGGGAGTGATCCTAATCTCAGCTGTGTTACCTGTATAAAAGACACCTGTTCACAGAAGCAATGAATCAGATTCCAAACTCTCCACCATGGCCAAGACCAAAGAGCTCTCCAAGGATGTCAGAGACAGGATTGTAGACCTACACAAGGCTGGAATGGGCTACAAGACCATCGCCAAGCACCTTGGTGAGAAAGTGACAACAGTTGGTGCGATTATTCGCAAATGGAAGAAACACAAAAGAACTGTCAATCTCCCTTGGCCTGGGGCTCCATGCAAGTTCTCACCTCGTGGAGTTGCAATTATCATGAGAACGGTGAGGAATCAGCCCAGAACTACACGGGAGGATCTTGTCAATGATCTCAAGGCAGCTGGGACCATAGTCACCAAGAAAACAGTTGGTAACACACTACGCCGTGAAGGACTGAAATCCTGCAGCGCCCGCAAGGTCCCCCTGCTCAAGAAAGCACATATATATGCCCGTCTGAAGTTTGCCAATGAACATCTGAATGATTCAGAGGACAACTGGGTGAAAGTGTTGTGGTCAAATGAGACCAAAATGGAGCTCTTTGGCATCAACTCAACTCGCCGTGTTTGGAGGAGGAGCAATGCTGCCTATGACCCCAAGAACACCATCCCCACCTTCAAACATAGAGGTGGAAACATTATGCTTTGGGGGTGTTTTTCTGCTAAGGGGACAGGACAACTTCACTGCATAAAAGGGATGGACGGGGCCATGTACCGTCAAATCTTGGGTGAGAACCTCCTTCCCTCAGCCAGGGCATTGAAAATGGGTCGTGGATGGGCATTCCAGCATTACAATGACCCAAAACACACGGCCAAGGCAACAAAGGAGTGGCTCAAGAAGAAGCAAATTAAGGTGCTGGAGTGGCCTAGCCAGTCTCCAGACCTTAACCCCATAGAAAATCTGTGGAGGGAGCTGAAGGTTCGAGTTGCCAAACGTCAGCCTCGAAACCTTAATGACTTGGAGAAGATCTGCAAAGAGGAGTGGGACAAAATCCCTCCTGAGATGTGTGCCAACCTGGTGGCCAACTACAAGAAACGTCCGACCTCTGTGATTGCCAACAAGGGTTTTGCCACCAAGTAATAAGTCATGTTTTGCATAGGGGTCAAATACTTATTTCCCTCATTAAAATGCAAATCAATTTATAACATTTTTGATATGCGTTTTTCTGGATTTTTGTTGTTATTCTGTCTCTCACTGTTCAAATAAACTTACCATTAAAAGTATAGACTGATCATTTCTTTGTCAGTTGGCAAATGTACAAAATCAGCAGGGGATCAAATACTTTTTTCCCTCACTGTAAATGTTTTGTGAATTAATACAATGAAAGCAAGGCCTGGTGTGTGTAATGTAGCCATCTGTATGTTGACTATCTGTATTATTTCTATTGTTTAGTCATGAGTGCTATATAAATATTGTGAACAATGAGCCTGTTTTCACAAAATAAAGAAATTGCATTAATGTACATACACACTTCATAAAACAACACACCGTCAACATCAATAAAGTGCTTTAGACATTGCCAGGGTTAATTTGCACACACTTTGGTGTATCCTGCATGTACCCTGTTTTTATGGTGGAAATTGTTCTTCACTGAACACTTCATCACATGCCCCTGGTTCTGCTTGGAAAATATGTATTGTCGCAATGGGATCTCAACTGGTTATAAAGGATTTGACTTCCTGATCGATTACTTGTGTGGGCCATAACACTGAAACGGCGATTTTTTAACCACAACCTCATCACTGTCAAAGTCCATTATAACTCCCTGGCCAAATAAGCACCTGCACAACCCACAGGCCATTAAGAACCAGCACGGGATGGTTCTCATGCGGCACTCATCTGCACTAGTACGTGTAAAGAGTCAGGGAACTGAACCTTTTTTCCTGGAAGCGTTAATGTCGAATATACAGTGGGAGGTAACAGTATCTGTGTCCCTCCTCAAGTCTGATATGAGCGTATCCATCACCCATTGTGAGCATAGCGTGTGGACAAGTCACCAAAAAAGATCACGAATCAAGCAGAAACGACCCCGGGGGAGCGTGGGAACACAGAGTGAACGGTATACGGAAGGAACATCGGGGAGAACTACGGGGCATGGATCTGAGAAGGGGGAGCGAATATCAAGATTACTAAAAACAGCCACTTCACCATAGATGTGCATGAAGAATGCTGCCACTCAGGATAGAACTTGTGTCCACACAACACAATGAGTTACATATGCAACTGCTTCAGTCGTGGATAAACACATACGTGTTTAATATATTGTCAGAATCGGTTAAGTTTGCGTGTTCCAGGTTCAAGAAATTAGGAGGTATGTGCTTGTTATTTTCTCACCCCAGACTGAAATACCCACAAGTAGAATTGGATTTGCATGCATTAGCCAGGATATTCTGTTTAGGATGCACCGCAAGCACAAGTTACAGCACCAAATTACCCCATGTAAAAAAAATCCCCATCAAATCTTCCCTCCACTCTTACCAGTCAACCACCCCTTTCTACAGCCCCTCTCTATAAATTTAACTAGATGGTAATGTAGGTCAAAAGACAAAAAAATACAAGCTCCGTATTAATGCTGATTATTGAAGCAGGACCAAAACTAATAGCACACCCATGGAGCAATTGGCAATTTATACCACCGTCTCACCCGGAATTGGATGATCCCATTTGTTTCTGATTGCAGAAACAGACGGTGGGGCCCATTCCAGTTGCCGTACACAATGTCCACACGGCCATCTTTGTTGAAGTCAGCAAGAGCCACTCCACGGCCATGGCAATCGGCGTCGGCCACTCCTGCGTAGTGACACACACACACACGCGCGTACGAGCACGGACGCGCACACAGAGCCAGGTTAGACTTGCTCGTGAAAGCAAAATTATCTAGAAATGCGAGCAAAGCCGGTAGCGCATGTGAAGGGGGCTCTATTGTGGGTAGCACCATACAGGGTTTTCTCACCTTCTGTGTGATGTTAACTAAAAGTGTCAGTCACTAATTTTAAGCAAATTTAACACCAATTATGGTGCAACATTGGCAGTGGTGTACACAGACTGAAAATATACACAGCCATCATTGATAACACTACTTTCTAATATAAATATACATTTATAGACAGCTAACATTTCAGGCTGTGGTGTGTCTGCAGAGCCGAGATTAAAAGGCAAATAAAACATTTTGGCTGACATAGTGAGAGAACACATTTGACTTGTGTTGCCTTGAAAAACTAAGAAATATTGGATAGCTGAAATGTTTTGAAAGTTTAAAGATGAATGGTTTCAAATAACAAATACTTGATTGCTAACAGACATTTAAATGGTCAAACATACACGCACACAAACACAAATTGCCTTAAGTAATCAAAATGAATCATGGTGAAAACGATTGTGTAAGAGTGGCTATGATAAGTCTATTGTCATGTTAAGTCAATTCCTTCACAGTGTGTTCATTTGAAAATGCATTCCTAGGGGTTGCGGCAGTGTCTCTGAATAATGCGAAGGTTGAAAGAGCAGAATGTCTCATTATTACCACCCTAGACTCGGATCAGCTCGCAGTGTTAAATGGACATGTCATATTTTCTTAACAAACATATGAGCTACATGTTATCGAACAAACCTTCACAATTCAAGACTGGACGTACAATTTCGCATTAACACCGAGCCGTGCAACGTTGGAATGCCCTCACTCTTGTTAAACATCTTAACGTGATGCATGCGGTGGTGACCATGAGCAATGGGCCAGCATACGATGGTCTGCCATCGCGGCACTTCTCCTGAAAGCCTCCTATTGCTGCCAGCGATGTTTCCGCAAAGGAGAAGCAGCAGTGAACACGGGCTGCAGGAGAAATAGGTTTCATCCTTCAACTTCTACATTTATATATCGGCCATTGGGTGTGCCTTTGACCAACACACATGGAATGTGCCTTATCCCATCAGTTCTAGAAAACTAAGCAGATTTGAGCCTGGATAGAACCAGGACGGGTGATCAACACCCCTAACACTGGGTGCGGTAATCTTTGTATGAGCAGCATAGGGCATTACAGCAAACTCCATTGTTTTGCACTTCCCCTATTTTCTCCAACCCATGATGACCAGTGCGGTGAGGTATGGTCAAGGAGCACTCAAGACCTGCACAGCACGGGGGGTCGTCATCCAGCAGTGGATTTAAAAAAGGGATGTACGAAGACGTTTTTTCACACGGTATGTAGCTAACTGTGCTAATCGGAGGTGCGGGGGAAGGTCAACAAACTAAACACAAAACGCAGTTCTAAATAAATACGTTTTCAATCTAGATTTCAAAGTGCATAGCTCCATTGGCTTCCTAATATCCGAAGGAAAAGCATTCCAGATGGCCGCAGAAGCGGATCTTAATGCGGGCGATGCAGTGACCGTCTTTGTTCGATGGTTAGCCAGAACCTGTTGCGAGGATGACCGGAGTTTGCATGATGATTTATGCTCCTTGAAGAGATCAACAAGGTATTGTGGTTCATTTGTGGCAAGTACTTTGTATGTAATGAGTGCATGTACAACGTGATACAGGTACAGACAGTCCCCGGGTTACGGAAGGGTTAGGTTCCTGAGAACGATCCGTAACCCGAATTTTCCGTATGTCAGAAACTGAACAATTTTCCCTCCAAAATCAACGATAAAATCCCATAGCTGGAAATCGTTGTGCCTCCCCTACCATTTTCTCTCAGTACTGCATCGCGCCGTCGTCCGTTTTCTATCACTACCTGTATCGTATCGCTGTACATACGCTCTGCACTTCCTATGATTCTTTAATCGAATATAAACCCTAACACTATCCATAATTAATATCAATTGTTAACAAAAAGCAGTCGCTTACGAATGTTCGTTTACCTTGCATTAGGCTAGGTCTAGACTTCTCTGATCACTGATGGCTGAGACCATGAGCAACGAAGAATAATTGTGTTAAAGATAAGTAAATACAGTAAATAACTCATGAAATAAACTTAAAATGAAAAAAACTAGCAACAGAAACATGGGAAAAAAGATAGTTCTAAGAATTACGTAACGCTACAAAAAAATCAATTTACCTTAATCCTAGTGAAGCTCAGGCTCGGTGAAGGTGGCGTTTTGGTGGAGCGAGTTATAAGTCGCCTTACTCACTCCGCAGTATTAATCCGCAACCTCACAGAGTGGCACTATTTGCGCTTGCATAACTAATGCAAAAATTTCCGCATATTGACTTTTTTTACATGATTCATGGAACATTTCCGTAAGGTTGGATTTACGTAAGTCGGGTCTTCTGCAACCCATGAGACTTACTGTAGCAATTAATAAAAACAGGTTGAATAATCAAGAGAACAGCAGCCCTTTATTTAAATGAGACATTTCAACTCCAGCAAGGAGATCATAGTCATCATCAGTGCGCAATACATCCATGAAGGTGCTAGGCTTCCATGGGCCAGGGGAGTGGACAGTCACAGCTCACCTCACAATCTGCCATCTATAGGCCTGTCTACAGACAAGACAAATGAAATAGCATTTTTAAAACGGGGGTGATGATAGGGGGGAGAAAGAGATACATTATTTTTGAGTGGAGAGAGGCATTGATATGCGGATGTGGATTGGGGATTAGAGTGTCTGTGTGCATGTGCGCGTGCTGTTTGTGTATATACGTATGTGTGCACGTGGGGAGGAGTAGTGTAGTGGTTAGCGCGCTGCACTACGAACCCGGCGACCCAAGTTCGATTCCGGTTTACGGCCAACACCAGTGCCGATAATCTGAACCAGCCCTGGGCCTCCCTAGCGCGGTGTCTATATTACAGTTTTTTTTTTGTAAGATCGGGTAAATATAAATGTGTCGTTACCTGATCAAATTAAACGAGACCCAACCAACACCTTGGAATGTAAGACAATGACAATCATTGCCAAGTTATCAATTCCAAAGGAAGAGCAAATACCTGATCAAATCAAGGGCATCAAAACCACCAAGACTTTATGGGCTACCAAAGATTCACAAACCTGATGTCCCATTAAGACCCATAGTTAATACAATCGGCTCTGCCACATACAAATTAGCACAATAAGTAACAAAACAAATACAGCCCTACAAGGGTAGGACCTCTTTGTTCATAAAAACTCAGAACATCTCGTAGATATAATTAAAGATAATAATCTTAACCCTAATGATATTCTCGGAAGTTTTGATGTGACTTCTCTGTTCACGAGGGTTCCGGTCAACGAGTCTATTAAATTACTTGATACTGTGATAACTAACACAGGTGTAGCCAAATATATCCAACGACTACCTGAACACTGTCTAAAGAACACCTATTTCTTTTGGAACGGTGATTTCCATAAACAAAAGGAAGGACAGAAATGGGCTCTCTTTTGTCTTCTGCGATTGCGTATTTGTACATTGAAGATTTTTAAGCAAAAGCAATAGATTCAAGCACACTGAAACCCTCTGCTTGGTTTAGATATGTGGATGACACTATGGTGGTCTGGCCACACGGCAAATATTCACTTAACGAATTTCTAAATCATCTCAACTTGCAAAATTCATCCATCCAGTTCACCATGGAAGTGGAAGCTGACAGAACTCTTCCATTTCTGAGATATTCTGCTCGGGCATGGCCGAAATGGTATCCTCAGGGTGTGGGTGATAGCAAGGTAGAGTGAAGATATTTCCTTGGTATTCTCAATCATATAAGCACTCCTCTTGTGGACATAACAGGCTTTCATGGAGCGTCGCTCCCATTTATTGAGGGGTGTTACCTGGCGTGCTCAAAATTAATTTCGAATCCTTTTTGCCGATGGAGAAAACTTCAAAATTTTGCCAATGTTTAGCTGAAACAAGCTTGACCAATCAAGGTGAGATCACGACAAATGAGAATGGGCAGTTAACTTGGGTGTGCAGATGTAAAGACAGTACGGCTCCTCGTGGCCGTGGTTACTAATTGACTCGACAGGCACTGACAGGGTCGCGTAAGGATAAGCACAGGACCTAAGTGGTCGTAAATAATAATTGAGACAGGGACAGACAGGGACAGACAGGCCCAGATGAGGTCAGAGAGTGTTCGGTAAAAGGGGCGTGGCCGGGTCGAGTGGTGGATAAAAGCCGGCGTGGAACAGGGCTCTGGGCTACTGTGGGGGAACCAAGAAACTGTCATCGCCGTCGTCATCTTGGAGCGGGTCGTCTTCATCATCTTGGATCGGGCACCTTGTAGTCTTGGAAGGCTAGAGTTAATATTGTCTCCGTGACTACTACGCGTCCGCTCCTGTGTAGCCAGCCAACTACATAGGGAGCGTCGCGTAGAGTTACAGAAGTTACCCAGCTGTATATAGTGAACTCACGGTTCCTCGTTAAATTATCAGTGAGTCGGCAGACTTAATTCACAATAAATATACGTATAACTGAACAAGACGGTGTCTCTGGGAGCTACATTACACGGAGATAATGACTATGTAAGTGTGGAAGTTATGGCCATGAATTTGGTGGTCATTGTTTTTTTTCTTTCTGGAGATGATTTTGCAAAGGTATCACAATAGATAAAAAGTAGCAGTAAGGTTTAGAAGAACTATACCTCCCAGCCATGGTATGTGTTGATCGTAAGAGTTATTTTTTGTGAGATACCGTGCGTAACTCAGTCGGGTATGGGTTAATGGCTTCCGTGCCACCACATATGAGAAAATATATTTTTATGAGGTGGCTGAGTGGCTCAGCGGTCAGATACAGCGAGCTGTCACCACTAAAATCATGGGTGAGAAACCAGGCAGCCCCTTGTGATTAAACCAGATCTCCTCAAGTGCAGGATGTTGAAGGTTTGAGC